ACGCCATTTTTTCCGGCCACTTTCTAGGGCGCTTCTTTCTTCCCCAGGAGTGCCTCCTGGACGTTAACGGTCCATTTTTCTTCGCTATCTCCTGGATAAGGAATCTCCCCCCATTTTGACAGGACCGATCCGCATTTCCGTTCCAGTTCCCAAAGGATCCGCCCAAGGACTCGGGATTTTCCTCGCCCCGGCCGGATACCTGAAAGGTGGGCTCCGACAATCGGAGGAAAGCGTCCTGTTTCGAAAACACGATTCGTTCCGTCTGGATTTTTATCGACACCAGTGTCTGCCGGTTTTACATGTCAAAAGAGAGACCGCGATTTCGTCACGGTCCAAGTCCTGGTCCTTTTCACGGTCCGTCGGGGCGATTTCCTCTTCGGCGTTCCGTCGCTTTCCGCGAGTCCTGCATCTTCCTGGGAGATTGTATAAAAATTAGAATTTGTAATAAATTCAGAAAAAGACAGAGATAACAAAAAATTGTGACAGTGGTTAGGAAATCGCTATGGAAGAGGACTTGGGCATCCGTCGCTTTTCGCGAGTCCTTCGAACCCGTGTCCTGGATCTTCCTGAGAGATTGTCTAAAAATTAGAATTTGTAATAAATTCAGAAAAAGACATAGAGATAACAAAAAAATTGTGACAGTGATTAGGAAATCGCTATGGAAGAGGACCTCGGCATCCGTCGCTTTTCGCGAGTCCTTCGAACCCGTGTCCTGCATCTTCCTGGGAGAATGTCTAAAAATTAGAATTTGTAATAAATTCAGAAAAACACAGAGATAACAAAAAATTGTGACAGTGATTAGGAAATCGCTATGGAAGAGGACTTCGGCATCCGTCGCTTTTCGCGAGTCCTTCGAACTCGTGTCCTGGATCTTCCTGAGAGATTGTCTAAAAATTAGAATTTGTAATAAATTCAGAAAAAGACATAGAGATAACAAAAAAATTGTGACAGTGATTAGGAAATCGCTATGGAAGAGGACCTCGGGATTCCGTCGCTCGCCGTTCGTTCTTCAAATCCCAAGTAACTCGTCTAGAAGCTTCTCATATAAAACGAATCCTAATTTTTATTAGGATTCGTAGCAAAATCATAATGCAGAAGATATAAAAAGAATCCAATCAACGTAAACGGCTGCAAGATTGAAATCTCACGTGAAATTTTGTCAGAACCTTCGGTGCATTCGCAGAACAAAATATCACGCATAATCAGAGCTTGTAGACATACATACATTTAATGTATCACGCATAATATCCCGGTCGAAGGAAACCGCGTAATGCCGAGAGCGACGATAAGAGGAAAGGAAAAGGAAAGAAAAAAAAAGTCGCCGCCCGGAATTTCCCAGGGCAGGAAAATCGGGTAATCGGAGGGTGGCGATAAGGCCCCCAGCACGAAGGGGGTATTTTTTCCGGATAATCTCACGAAGCTCGATCTGCGGTAGGTCGGGCGAATCGATAGCGGAATCCTATCGAGAGTGTCGGGCCCGTGGCTTCCGCTCCTCGGTCCTCGACAAAGCGAATAAACCGACGGGGACCGTAGCACGCGAGATAGCGTGCCGGAGCGCGAGGGGGCGGGGCGTCCCGCCCACTTCCCCTCCGCCGCGCCGCGGGCGGGGATAGCGCGGCGCCGACTGGCCTGCGCGCAGCCCGGGGGCGGGGCTTACGTTAATTATTCTAAATAAGTCGTCGGGCCGCGAGCGCTGATTGTATGGGGGTTTACGGAGCCATAAATAGAACCCGTTTACAAATCACGCGCTCCGTAGCGATCGGTCCGATCGTTGACAATCGTGACCCCGACTCTCTTATCGAGTCGGTTGCCTGGTTTATTCTAATTGAAAAAAGAAAAAAGAAAAAGAAAAAAGAACTTCCCTCTGGACTGGACTAACGGAGTTAATGGGATCCGGTCCCATTGCTGGGCAAATTGAAAGAGGGGGGATGTCGGAAGGATATCGAGTCGATTACTACCACTCGCTATCGTGGACTCGGTGTTAGTTGCGATGGTAATTCCCAAGTTTTTATTCCTCGGAAGTTTACCTTTCCGGGAGCGGTCTCGGACGTGATCCTAGACGTGAGTGTTTTATAAACAACTGGAATGGTTGTTTCATTCCCGTGGTAGAATCCAAAAAACCAAACCTGACGACCCATCGAAACCTCCGGACCTCCTCTCGTATTTCATAAATAACATAAGGATATTTTTTATAAATTATTAACTGTCCATCGAAAACTGTCCAAACTGCAAATAACAAAGTGGAAAATTTCCTGCTGGATTTCCCGACGAAATAGTTGAGCAGCTAAATAAACGGGATAAAAATGAAAAGTTAAGAAGCGAAGGAAAACTTAACGATGAAATATGTAGGATGAAGATTTTTTATTGGAAAGAGGTAAAACGTGGGAATAATTTCCTCGATCGCGGGACGAAAGAATTCCCCGGATAAATAAATAAGAGAAGAACAAATGATAAGGCGGAAAATTATTCATTGGAAGTGGGCGCATAACCTCACTTTTTATAACCACTTCTTGTCAGCCCCTTTGGTGGGGAGTTTGGGGCGTTAACCGCCTGGAGGAGTGTTATCGACGGATAGACACGTTATCGTTATTTATGGCCTCTATCACTATTATTGTTCTTGCACGAACCGGGTACCTGCTAACCGAGTAAGTGCGCTTAACGAGGCACTTTGTTCGAGGCTCGTTAAGTCGATTTCGCAACAATGCACGCAAAGTCGGTTTAGATTGCAGGTGTCGAGGCGCAGGTACGGATATCTGGTTATCAGTCTTATCAGAGGGATTTGCCCGTTGGGCATTCTCAAGAAAAAAAAAGAAAAAAAAATCCGAGATCGCAGAAGATCGGCCACTTCGACTGGTAATGAGAGAAATCCTCCCAGGGAATGAAATTACAGTCTTACGGTTTCGTGGAAAACGTCGAGGGGGAGTGGACCTCGTTATCGGGACGGTAATTACGGTTATCGTCGCGCAGGTGATCGATATCTCTCGGGGAGGGAAAATAACTCTGGATTTTTTTTTCGGATAAGAGTATCGCTGGAATAATATTCTGGCGCCGAGATGACTCTTTTGATTTTCCGATAATATATACATATAGAAATAGTAGCAGGAATTATTTACTCGCTAGTTACGGACACGCGAGTTCCGATAACTCGGCTTGAGGTCCCCATCGATACGGACATTTTCTTAAAAAATAATATCCACCCTATTTAGGCAACGAGGATATGTATATAGAACATTTGGTTCATTATTGCGTGCACGGGCTCGGGAATCTCGCCCGTACGGCGGGAGAGCTCCGCAGGAAACGCGTTGAAGTACTTTGCAGATGCTTAGAGATAACCTACGAGATTGAAAACCTTGTCATGCAAAACGCTAGGCGTTTAGTTGTAGATATTTTCTTTTTTGACTAAAGGTAGGGTTCGATGAAGGTTGAATTCGTCCCTGAAAGATTGGCGGAGGCGCCACGCCTCCTTCTAATTTCCCGTTCGGTCCCTCCTTTCGACCTCCGACCACCTCCACCTCGAACAGCTGCCAACCGACGGTTGAACCTTCCCGAACCTCTTCGGATGCCTCGAAGATCGCTAATAACGAGACGAGACAATTAGAACATAAACGGCGCGTCCGTTGAGTACCCGCCAATAGGTCGTTCCGACCTCCTACAACTCATTTTATCATCCTCGATAAAGTGTTAAGGTGACCATGATAATAAAATATGAAAATATTAAAATGCCCAGCGTCGAAATATCAAATCATTAAAATATCAAGGTATCGACAATCGTGGGAGAAAAAGGGCAAAATCCCTAACGATTCATCATTTCTGACATCTGCGGCGGAATCGCCGCGGAATTCCGCGATTATCGGACAAATCCCCGCATCTGCCAGTCCCCGGATAATACACTCGTCCGTCTCGGTTGAAAGTACCTCCCAGCGAGAAGAAAAGAGGGTACACAAGGTTCGGGTGAATTTTTGTATGAAGCAATTCCGTCCGCTCGCGCCGATAAAATCCGTAGAGAACGAGAGAGAGAGAGAGAACTAAACGAAAAGGGAATAAACGTTGACAGGAAGAGAGAGAGAGGCGCTGCAGAGTCAGCAAAGAGGGGAGGGTTCCGTTTGCGAAGTGTAAGAAACGAATTAGCAGTCGGCTACCCTGGAGGGGACGTGGATAGGAGCGAAGGTTGGATCGTACTGAGCCGTCCCGGAGTGGGCGTGGGCGTGGATGGGCGGAGCGAGGCGGGGGGCGTGGCGCGCGCCGCGGGTAGGCGGGTGGAAGGGGAAGGCGTGCCGCCAGCGTTCCTTCCACCGTCGTCCCGAGCACAGGGCCAAAAGCCAGAAGAGATATCTCGAGCAAACTCGAGGGAGCCCGATCCGGACGCGTTTTCCGCAGGCGGAGAGATCGAGGCTCCCTCGGGAAGGAGACCGGAGTACCTTCCTCGCGCGCCTCGGGACTGGGAATCGATATCCTTCCATCGGTCCTCGGAGCGGCAGGTGGTGGGGGGTTCCCCCTCCCCTGGCGCGGTTCTCCAGGGGTGGGGAGGGAGCTCCGCAGCCGAGAGGGACAGCGGCCCAGGGGCGGAGACTTCGGCAGGAGCGTTAATAGAGATACAATCGAGGGTGTCTAGTGCACTGCACTCTTGGCCGGCGTAGGAGGAGTGAAGGGGGAGGGGGTAAGTACGGAGCCCAGATCCCTAGTTTAGACATCACCCACCGACGGATGGACAACCAGTCGGACCCGTCACGGCACTCGCTCGAGTACTCGGAAACCCTGGGAAAACCTTAGCCGGACCCTCGGTCCGGACGGGGACTCCTGGTGCACCTCGATCGGCGACCCGGTGGAGGGCAAAGGTATCCTGACCTTGGGGCCTCTTCGGGACCCCGACCGACCTTCCACCCCACTCCGGGGAGCTGTGCCAAGTTCCCTGGAAGAGTGTCGGACGTCATCTTCGGGGGTCAAGGGGACATGCCGAGGTGATCCGTCTTTCCCTGGGGAGGAAGAAGACGTCGCGGAACATGAGCGTGGCGATGGTGACCATGGACTCGTATGGCCTTCGTCTGGGTGTCGGGCATCACCCTGGACGCTGCGCGGCGTCCTCGCAGGAGCACCGCGACATCCCCCAGGCTGGACCCTCGACCGAGTCCTCGCTTCGCTTCAGCGTGGTCAACATCCTCAGGCCGGACTTCGGCAGGGAGGCCATCCTCGGCAGGACCTCCGGGAAGCGGGGATTCTATCCCGGGATCCCCTCCTCTAGAACCCAGACCCTGACCTTCCCCAGGGACCTCGGCTTGCCGGCCTCCAGACTCTCGCCCCGACTCGCTTCTGCCGGGTCCCCTGGACAGAGGGAGAGAGACAGGGACACCTTCTCCACCCACTCGGGACTCGCGTCGCCACTTCGGAGACATGGACTCAGCAGGAGCGGGAGCTTGGAGAGTCTTGCCAGTAATCGCAGCTCCGTCACTGGCAGCTCCGGCACCGGGGCTCCCTCCACCGTTGGGGCGGAATCCATCAGCGGGGACAGCACTTCAGGATGTGTCGGACAGAACACCCCTGCCGGACAGAGCCTCTGGCCGGCGTGGGTTTATTGCACCAGATACTCCGACAGACCCTCTTCCGGTAAGGATGATAAATTAATCAACAAATCCTGTTTATTTTTCCATAAGGACCGTATGGTACCGTCTTGGTTGCCTGGCAACGGTTCCGGTAAAGATGATAAATTAACCAACAAATCCTGTTTATTTTTCCATAAGGATTGTATGTCATTTCTTGGTTGCCTGGCAACGAGTCCCTGATAGTCCGCGTTCTTTTTGTGGTTGTCGGAGTAGGACTCGTTAAGGTTAATTTTTTTAGGCTTCTTCGGCTATTTGGGGCAATATTTGAGGGAATGGAGGTGAGGCTTGAGTTTTGGTGCGAGGAGTATGATTTGATGTGGTTATCCGGGAATCGATTTAAATCCTTATGGACTCCTGATTGAGTTCCTTGCCTCGCGTGATGCTTGGCGTGACTCGGGAACCCTTTGAGAGATCTAGGGCGAAACGTACGTTGTATGTTTAGTATTCCTGGTTATTATTCCCCATGTAGAGCGGTTACTGCCACCTGATCGACTTCATTAGACTGGACGAACTTTATTACCCGAATTGTATGTCCAGTTTGGTCGTTGTAGAAAATTGTCTATGTGTTTTTCCTTTTTACTTGGGTAAAACGGATCGTGCCAATGCAATGAAAACTCGAAGGAATTAAAAGCTTAAAAAAAAATCCATGTTTAAAAAGGCGAATCGTCGAACTGTAGATGGTGAAGAGTAACCAGCATCCCAAAATCAGTGTAAGTCCGGTTGGGGCATTTTAACGATACAGTCGCTGATAATACACCTAATGCACCCTCAATTACCCACAACCCATTAAGTGCAAGACAACTCAAAATCATCTGGAGAAGGTGAATTGTCGCACTTGAGTCCTTTGACGGTAAAGAGTATCCAGCATCCCAAAATCGGCACAAGTCCACGTGTCGCGGGCGCATCTCGATGACTCCTCTCATAACTCCGGGTGGGGCATCTCAATGATGAATTCGCTGATAATGCACCTAAAGCACCCATTTATCACCGAAATTAAGTGCAAAATAACTCAAAATTATCTGGAAAAGGTGAATTCTCGCACTTAATGCCTTTGACGGTAGAGTACCCAGCATCCCAAAATCGTCACAAGTCCACGTGTCACGGGCGCATCTCGATGACTCCTCTCCCCCGTGGTTTCATACCTCGTAAAAGGTAATCTCCTCGTTTGTCGGGCGTGCTTGCGTTAAGAGTCACCCGGGGTAATTACAACGGGCTCGGGATTACGCGAGCCTCGGCCCGGGGATAACTTCCCGGCGGTGTCATCGCGCGTGATAAATCGATTCTAAACGGCGGAGACGCGCCGATGGAAAATAATCCCTCGTGTCGGTGGTCGCGTCCGCTACCGGGAAAAGAGACGGGGTTACTCGCGGGTTAATTACGGAATAAAGAACCAGCCCCGTCCCCACGGTTCCGCGGCCGCTTTGTCCGCGCCGGCTTTCAATAATTCAGCCTCGTTTAAGTGGCCCCGTCGTCCGGCACTCCGTGCAGGAACTCGGCGATGAATCCTTCGAGTTCCGACCGAGTGGCGGCCTTAATGTTTTAACGAACTCCGTTATAACGCCCCGGGAATAATTCCCGTAGACGGCGAGGACGACTTTTCTCTTCTGCGACTGCCGGGTCCTTGGACTACCCCCGGTCTATAACGAGAACCTCGCAGAGGGGAGGAATAACCCTTTTTTATCCTCTTCCTTTTCGCTGGACGGGAAAAAGAAGTTCCCCACCTAGGAGACGGGTTGTCCTTAAGGTGATGAGAAAGACGTCGAAGAGGTTTTGTTTATGAAACTTTTCTCCAAACTCGGTTTACCGAATAGTCTGACACTTTACAACGTGAACAGGGAGGCTATAAGGGAGGTCCTGAAACTCGTGAAATTTCAATTCTTTTCAAATTTTTTTATAGGTATTTTAAATATCGTTTGTAAAAAATAAAATTTCAGGAGTTTTAGAACCTACCTTAGGGTCTCTATATTCACGATTTAAAGTATGAAACGATTTGAGCTTTCACATCCCCTTAAGGTCGGCTCGAACGCCGGATAAACATTGGGGCATCTTGTAAATGGGAGCAATTTCTAAATTTTCTATTAATAAATTAATATCAATTTCCGACGATCGAATGCGACGATGGAATCTTTGTTGCTTTCTATGGGGAGTTTATGGAACATATTTTTTCTTTTCTGTCTCCAGGACCTCGAACCAGGAGAGTGAAGCGGTCGCAGCCAGCGGGGGAAAAGAGCAGCTCCTCCGAGGAGAAGAGGCCCAGGACGGCGTTCAACGCGGAGCAGCTGGCGAGGCTGAAGAGAGAGTTTGCAGAAAATCGGTACTTGACAGAGAGGAGGCGACAACAACTCTCGCAAGACTTGGGCTTGAACGAGGCGCAGATCAAGATCTGGTTCCAAAATAAAAGGGCGAAGATAAAAAAGGCCAGTGGCCAGAAGAACCCTTTGGCGTTGCAGCTGATGGCGCAGGGTCTGTACAACCACTCGACGGTGCCCGTGGACGAGGACGGCGAGGAGATCGTACCCGGCAAGGCCTAGGAAGACTCATCGGGGTAGTAACGAAACAACCGATCTCTGCAAAGCCGAAGGTTCTCCAAATCTGGAACTCTGCTAAACCTAACAAGGTTCTCCAAACCTGGAGCAAAATTCTACGAAGTCTAAGAAAATTCTCCAAAATGACTGCGAAGCCATGGAACCCTGCAAACACCAAGAAGGTTCCCCAGGGTTATGACGGAACCACGTTCCCTGGTATCGTGGGAACCGAGTCGTCCCGACATGGCGATGCCTGGTCCCCGTCTGGTAGTAACGAACCAACCGATATCTACAACCCCGAAGGTTCTCCAATTCTGGAACGAAGCCCCGGAACTCTGTCTAACCTAACAAGGTTCTCCAAACCTGGAGCAAAACTCTACGAAGTCTAAGAAAATTCTCCAAAATGACTGCGGAGCCATGGAACCCTGCAAACACCAAGAAGGTTCCCCAGGGTTATGACGGAACCACGTTCCCCGGTATCGTGGGAACCGATTCGTCCCGACATGGCGATCCCTGGTCCCCGTCTGGGTCTGCATAACTGCATACGGAAACGGGGAATAATTTGCGACGAGATCGGTGCCCGAATCGGAACTCCTGGAAGGTAAAACCCGAGCGGAATCCCGAAGGCATGCCGATCAGGGGAGGCGAAAGTCGCGGCAGGTGTTCCCAATTGGCGGTAATAGCGTTATTAGCGTTTGACAGCCATCTTGGAATCCGTAGGTAGGTGCATCGAGCGGAGCCCCACGATGCCCACCGATGCACGGATGCATCGACCGGTCGGGGAACGACCTGGGCTCGGCTTCGTTATTCTCCCGTACATGACGTGCCGCGGATATAACAGCGCGGCCTGACGGCGATCAATCGCCTGCATAATGTATGCGAAACTATAAACTCGGAGTATCTTCGAGGGCCTGGAAACCAGGGAGCCTCGATGTGCCGCTGTCGAGGGCCTCCTGGTCTCGGTGCATCTTGCAAGGACCTCCAGGTCTCGCTGCATCTTGCAAGGACCTCCTGGTCCCGCTGCATCTTGCAAGGACCTCCTGGTCTAGCTGCACCTTGCAAGGACTTTTTGGTCTCGCTGCATGTTGCAAGGGCCTCCTGGTCTCACTGCACCTTGCAAGGACCTCCTGGTGCATGTTGCAAGGACCTCCTGGTCTGACTGCATCTTGCAAGGACCTCCTGGCTGCATGTTGCAAGGGCCTCCTGGTCTCACTGCACCTTGCAAGGACCTCCTGGTCTCGCTGCATGTTGCAAGGACCTCCTGGTCTGACTGCATCTTGCAAGGACCTCCTGGTCTCGTTGCACCTTGCAAGGACCTCCTGGTCTCACTGCATCTTGCAAGGACCTCCTGGTCTCGCTGCCCCGCCCGAGTTGGAAAATGGACTAGATTTGTCTCGGAGTATTCTAGGAAATTTCTAGGAGAAGCAGTTAATCTAGGTTCTAGGTTAGGATTATTTATTCACCCTGTAAATACTTGTACATAGTGGCTCGACTTAATGTGCATATGTATGATACGCCGTATAGAGACGCGGTCGCCTGAGACCGAGTTGCGCGCCAAGATCATTGTTGCTAAACGCACGGATTACTCGACAGAGGCGATCTCACTCGGAGCCCTGTACATATTTACGTGTTCGCATATGTAGACCCGTGTAACCCGTTTAGGAGCCCCATTATCATGTCGCGTGGTCTTGCCGAACTATTGTAGTCATGTAATCCGGCATAGATTGTACCGGCGATTAAACTGGATCGTATGATGAACTCGCTCCGTCGTTCCTCCATCTTGTCCCAGATCTCATCCCGTCTTAACGAATGTTTCCTATTTTTTTTTTCTTCTTAACAGTCGGACGAAAAAATTTTAAGTTGACTACATTTAATTCCCCATTTGGGTGAGTCTCCCCTCCTTAAGGTGAAGTGAAACCCTTGGTTCGCCCTTAATTTTTATTTTAATCGAAATTATGAAAGTGTCAAGACATCCCTTAGGTACTCTCGAGTCAGGCGGTAAAATTGTAAACTGTTCGGCGGAATAAGATTTAAAAAAATTGTTTCTTTGGATCCATTGACTCGAGGGTTTCTCGTTACTTTACGCGCTCTTAATTTCAATAAGGTCTACATGACTCCCGCCATTTCGGGGGGCTAATTGATCGCGACCTTCGAATTAAAGGGCCACCCGGTATTTCGAGTCCCTGTATTCACAGGAACCTGACAAATGGACTCCGAAGAGAGAAGATACATCCCCGTGTTAAGCATCGCTCGATGCTGGCCGCAATTACTCGACGTCAAAACGATACACCCCATGCCCGATGGTTATCGCGATATCCTCTCTTAGAACATTGCGATCCGATCGAGGTCCTGTCATCGACCTCCGGGATCTACCCCGAGGTCGGAGGTCGAGGTGGGTCCACGATTCCCTCGGGACTCCTCTGAGACTCCTCGATACCGTTCCCACTCTTCGATATGATTACGAAGGTCCACTTGCCGATCAATTTTTTGTCGAAATTTATTTATAGACTAGATGAAGATTGAATTTTCTCTTTTGTTCCTTACAGAATAGTTCCTTATCGTATTCTCGCTGCACTGTCGTGTTCTAGAATCGAAGGTTTTTGGTGAACGATACGGTTGCTAGGGACGCCATCTTGGGAGTTGGCCACGTGGAGGACCGGGAGGGCAACAAGCCCACTGCAGGTCCCAGGAATCCGGGAAACTAGGAATTTCGGGGGTAACGATCGGCGAGTTCCATTATAAATTACAGAGTCGTTGTCCTGGCCATTGTATTTAGCGTGGGGACGCGTAATTGCTGGAATTGCGGAGCCGGCATAGGAAGAAGAGGGGTCGGCAGTAGTTCCGTAGCTACCGAGTGGAGTCGCGGTCGAGGCCGTAGTTACCGCGATGGCCATTAAGGCCTTCGGCGCTGCCGCCAGTGGCTCACTAAATTCCATCTTCTTGCACACCTCTCGGCCCGCAAATTAATGATCGCCGCCCTTTATTACAATATCAGGCCGCGAATCTAGCTCTAGTTGCGGATACCGGAAATTCATCCGAAGGATTTAGTGCGCGGGGTATCTCCGAATCGATGCCGACCCCTCTCGCGAAATGCTGCCAAAGGCAAACAATACTGCTGACGACAATTTTACCCCGGCCACTTTATTTACGCTTTATATCAAATTTCACCGCGTGGCATAAATTCAGACTCGAGATAAATGGGCGATACGCCACTTCTCTATGGCGTTGGCTACAACGGCTGATTCGGTAGGAATTAATCCCGCGATGCCGACCGCATACGAAATTTCGGAGAGTTACGAGAACGTCAATTTTATGCCTTACTTTTAAACGAATGTATCGGCTTTACTTGTATTCATTTCGAGATATATTGTAGAACTGAATTCGTTATATCTGCGCATTCGCTGGTTTGCCAAAATGGCGGCGCGTTCCATCGTCGCCTCCGCTCATTTAACCGAAAGACCTAAATAAAATTCAATAAACTGTTAAATACATAAATTGTAAACATTATTATTACATAGATGTCTTATTTTTCCTGGAATTAAGTTCGCAAGATCGTCGAATAGAATTTCTTAGATCCGCGCGTTCTCTGGTTCGCCAAAATGGCGTCGCGCGCGCGGCGTCGCGTTCCATCGTCGCCTCCACTTAAGCCGCGCGAATCGCGGCGGCGTCCGCTTTTAGCCGGGTTATTTCAGCTCGTTAGGATAACGAGGATCTAATATCGTTGCGTCCACAGCCGGCCAATTACACGTAACGGCGGCGCCGCTCGTCTTTCGGCCCGTCTTTCGACGCACCCTCGAGCCCGGCCAAAGGCTCGCTCGGTTTCGCGTGATCTATGGTGGGACATCTGCGGCGGATCATACGAGAGGAGCATGCAAGTAAGCCCCCTTCTTCCGAAAACTCGGCCGATAAATTTCCCTTTGCTTTGCGCCCCCGCCTAATTTGACGCGACAAGAGAGACGACCGATTTCGGCCGCGTCGTCGCCGCGCGGAAAACCGCCCGTGTAGGCTATCGCTAGACGACTGTTTGCGGAAGATAAATACTTCGCCGGCGATTATTTTTACCAATTAGCCCCGGCAATTATTCCCGCCGAGGTTTATGGGGTTAGGATCCCGGTTTCCCGATGTGGGGGGTTAAACGGCTGGGTGGCTCCTCCGTCTCTTGATCTCTTCGGCAAGTCTCGCTTCGAGGGCTTTAGGTGGAACTCCTGCAAGTCGTTTTTACGTTCCTTTGTTTATTTTTTTTCTTTTTGTACCTTTATTCGGATTTAGGCGAGCTAGGATTCTTATGGAAGGGATGTGTTACCCCTCTCTCTAACCTTTCATTCATTCGTTGACTTTGCTCTTATGAAAAAATAAATAAATATATTATGAAAATTTAAATATACAAACAGTGCCCGAAGAAACAGGAAATCGAAAGTGATTCTCCCGGATTAACGATTCCGACGACTTTTTTTCGATAATTATGCGGTGATTTCATATTTTATGCCCGACGTTGTGATTGTAATTGAACGTTTGCTGCAATAAAACTGTCATACTATGTTAATTCTCACAGTTATGCATTAATTTCATATTTTTCAATATATAACGTCAACCGTTTCGTCGTATTGAAATGTTCAGAATTACGCGTTAATATCATATTTCAAAGGTTATTTCACAGGTGTAAATAAACGGAATCCTGCCAACTCGAGTTAAATAATTATCCGCGCCATTACCACTTATTCGAATGAAAAGTATATATTTTTTTTTCTTTGGTTCAAAGAATCTTTCTTTCTCAGGGTACGTGGGTACTTTGTTTATTTTCTTTTCCGCAAAGTATAATGTACCGCCGCTCGGAGCGTAAAGATCGGGCTCGCGCGTGCGCATGCGCGGTGGAGTAGTCGCGCGAGCGCGTGCGACACAGGGACGAGGTCGCGCACTCGTGTGCGACGCCCGAGAGTGGAAGGACCACCCAACGCGATCGCGCGGGACGCTCGGGAGAGGCAGAGCGAGAGAGAGGTGAGTAGTATCTAGCGGGGCAGGGAGTGGGTGCGAGAGAGAGGCCCGCGAGAAAAGAAACGGCCGGCCGGGCAGGAATGCTTGTCGGGTCATTAATGCCCCTTGCTTAGCCGGCTACTTATGGATCTGACCAATGGACCTGACCGATTGCTCGCACGAACCTCCCCAAGAGTCC